GAGGGATACGGTGGATGTTCCTCCCCGTGGGCAGCAGCTACGGTGGTGAGGGGTGGTGAGGCGGGGTCCTCTGATCCAGACTGGGGAAGGAGCCTGACGACGTCCTCAAATGAAGGGGCGGGAGGGCGCCGCCCACCTCTTCCGGGGCAGTCTGTACTGTTACTTCTCGCTTATTTCCAAGGCATCCCACTCAGGCAGCTGGATGGCTTGCTTCCTCATCCACTTCCACCAGGCTCCTTACTGCCAAATTTTATGACTTGAAAAAATTCACCCGGCACGTCTGTCATCAGGCCTGTGAGTGGGACCATGGGGTTGAGTTGGACCCCTTTCCCATAACTAAAACAGGAGCGTGACGGGCTCTGTTGGAATCCAAATTTAACTGTTTCCCCTCCTCTTTCAGAGTTCCAGGAGGACCTTGCTCCTCTCTCCCTGGCAGGGCTCCGGCAGCACGAATAGCGTGCAGGGGGACGGAAATAGAACGTAAACCTGTGAAGGGGTCTAAAATTTCATAGAAGGAACTAGAAATAGACTTCTCATTTGTACAACAGATCAATAATGCCTATTTCCCAGGGTCTTTGTGAGGACTGATTGAGGGAATTTATGGAAAATAACCCAGCAGGATGCTTGGTGCAGAGTCAGGCAGGCATTACATAATAGCCACCGCTAACAGCCGGTATTTACCGAGGCCAGAGACTGGTCTAAGCGTGTTCTGTGCTAACTCATTCAACCCTCACAACAACCTCACCAGGCGAGGATAGCTATTTTCTCCATTTTACACATGAGAAAAGTGAGAGGCTAACCAGCTTGCCTGAGGTCACACAGCAAAAGGTTTGAACCCAGCAGAATTTGAACCCAGTCAGGCTGGCTCAAAGATGTCTGCACTCCTGACCACGGTGTGATTACATAAGAAGAGGAAGATTCCACGGAATCATGTCACGGTGTGTGGTCAAGTGGTGTCCCAAAGCCCCCTTGCCCTGACCAGCTTATTCCTGTGGTCTCCCGCCCAGCCCACCCCTTCTCCAACCCTGGACCCCAATCCAAGAAGGACATCAACACACCACCTCTGGTTCCTCCACACAGCACCTCTGCCCGTGTCCCGTGATTTGGCACATGTTCCACTCATGCCCTCCATGAGGTCCTTCCCAGCTTCCAGGCTGAGGGAGCTGTTCCCTCCTGGGCCCTGTGACACTGCCTTCACATCTCTTTATCCAGCGCTCATCGTAATCTATTGTAAGTAGATCACGTGTCCTTTGAGGACAAGGACCATGTTTTATTTATTCATCCTGGTGTCCCGTGCCTAGCAGCTAGCCCGGCCTCTGTTCCATAAATGCTGAATGAACGAATGAATGAATGAATGAAGTGTCTCAGAGAAGGCAGAGACACCCGTGGGCTGGAACAGTCAAGGGAGCATCCTGGAGGCCTAGAGACCACTCCTGCAGCCCCTCCCACTCTTTTGAAAGCCGCTGATCCCCCTCTTAAACCCGCTTCCACTCTGCCTGGCGACGAGGCTTCTGCCGTCTGCAGCCCAGCAGATACCAACCCCTCAACAGAGGCGGGGACTGCTCTGGGCCCGAGGAAGGGCAGAGTGCAGACAGCTGAGGAGGATCTGAAAGGAGCCACAGGAGGCGGGCGGGGAGCTGTGGCCGACTCAGGAGGCTCCAGGAGAGGAGGAGAGGAATCAGGTGGTTGAGAAGAGGGCGGGGACACACGACAGGAGGGGGAGGGAAGCTCTGCTGAGTGGGCACAGGGAGCGAGAGCACAGAGGACCCAGACTGGGGGGCAGAACCGCTGACTGCAGGCTCGGAGGAGGTGACAAGGCAGAGGGACACAAACTCAAGGTTCAGGAACACGATGGGAATTAGACTAATCGTCTCTAAACCCAACCCAATCTTAGTCTTTTTAAAAGGTGGAGCTTCAATGGAGGCATTTTCCGAGGAGAAAAAATAAAAAATAATTTTTAAAAGGTCACAGTGGAAGTTTCCTCATGCATTCTTTCATTTAACATACCTTTCAAAATGTGCGCAACCCAAAACCCAGAACAACCTTTTTTTTTTAAAGATTGGCACCTGAGCTAACAACTGTTGCCAATCTTCTTTTTGTTCTTTTTGTTTTTTTTCTGCTTTATCTCCCCAAATCCCCCCCATACATAGTTGTATATCTTAGTTGCAGGTCCTTCTAGTTGTGGCATGTGGGACGCCGCCTCAACGCGGCCTGACGAGCGGTGCCATGTCCGCGCCCAGGATCCGAACAAGCAAAACCCTGGGCCACCGCAGTGGAGCATGTGAACTTAACCACTCGGCCACGGGGCCTGGCCCCCAGAACAGCTTTGCATCCAGCATGTTTTACCTCAAATGCTGCTGTCCACCCTCAAATTATTTTTTTTTTATTATTATCATAAAGAACACTATAAAACAGAAGACCTTGGCTAGGCCAAGATAAGACGTTTGGTACAGATCATTAAAAGCAGATAAACCGACCGTGACCCTGATTAGCAACTACCGTGCTAACCGCCGTGGGGCACAGCAGCGCCCTGGGGGCCAGGCTGCACCCACTCTCTGGGCTGGAATCCGGGTCTGCCCCTCACTGGCCACAGGCCTCAGACCAGTGTCTCAGTTTCCTTATCTGTAAAATGGGCACCAGTAACAGCCCCTCCCTCCCCAGTCACGAGGACTGAGTCAGTGATGTGGAGCACTGAGCCTGGCGCCCAGCAGCTAGTGAGCACTCAGTCCACATGAGCTCATGTTATCTCGCCAGGCATGACCTAAGTGTCACCGTTTCATGCCATTTTGAGAATTAAGGACACGGGCACAGAGATGTTAAATATTCAGCCAAAATCACACACATGCCAAACACTGAAGGAGGGAAATTTGATTCAAGGACCCTGTTTTTTAATCAGTAGATTAAATGGGGATGATCTCATGGGAGGGAAATTGGGGGGAGCTTTTCATGTTCCCGAGGGGCAAGAAGGAGGAGTGATGGATTGTGAATAGCTTCTGTGCAGGATGGGTCTTCACAGAGGGCAGCAGTCACCTCATCAGCTGGAGGTTCCCTATGGAACACCTGATTCTACTCTGCAATCCTGAAATGAAGGCACTGCCTCTTTCACTCATTCATCACTGATTGACTAGACTCAGCACATGTCAAGGCATCTAAGGAGCCCACGAATAACCCACAGCACTGCCTCCCCACCCCACCCCTTCCCGCAGCCTCTTGCCATCCCCCGGATTGAATGCCTGGCCTTCTAGTTAGTGTCCCTAACTCAGCCCTGCACCCGTCTGCCTGCCGGCTTCCTGCAGCACCCCGGTCTAGGAGCCTGGACTCCTCCCATACATGTTGCCCCACTGCCCATTACCCCTGGACCCACCATGGGGACCAGAGCAGCTGCCTCCACTCTGATGTGACCCAGGGCTTATACAGGCCGGCTGGGCGAGGCCCTGGTCCTCCGCGACTCACGCCCACTTCTCTCTTCCCCACTGGAGAGCACGGTTGGGTCCCCAAAGTGCAGGCTTAGGGTGTGGCCAGCCGAATCCCTGGTGAGCCCTTCCCCCAGAGCACAGTGCTCCTAGAAACAGAAGACGCAGAAGACAGGTGCAAATGGAGGTCCCCGAGCTCCTGCCCACATTCCCGTGTTCTGAGATTTGCCTGTCATCACGAGTGCTTCTGGATCACTTGAGAGCTCATCCTGCACACCCTCCTGCCCCAGGCATTAGAGAGCCCTTTCTCTTTTTCTTGTTTGTCTGCGAGCCCCCTATTTTAAAGTACTCTGAGAAGAATCTGCAGCCCCCAGGGTAGCCACGGCCCAGCCACAGTTCAGACTTCATATCCTGATTATTCTGCACACTTGCCGTGGGTTCTTTTTGTGTCTATGTTGGAAGTGTCTGTGCATCTCTTAGCTACCCCACTATGCAAAAAAGGAGACATTCTTATTTGCTGAGGTAGGTGCTTTACATATGCTATGCTGTCGAATGAGCTGCTTGATTACCCCACCCCCAGCCTCCTCCCAGGACCAGGAGCAGGAGACTCAGTGCCAGCATGGGCCATTTATCCCAATACTGAGCTCTTGAGGCCGGGCGTTTCTTCCTCACCTTTTATGGAAATTCTCCGTGATGCAGCCGGCTCCCTTTGCATTTGTTCTGTCCTCATGGGAAGGGGAAGTATGGGTCCCTCTTCTGGAACATGCCCCATGCCAGCCCCTGGAAACCACTCACTAGGCCAAACCTATGCATCTAGATCTCTCTCCGTGCAGACCTATACCCAGCGATCTGGCTTTCAGATACTTGGTTTAATCAACTCATTCACTTTATTTTTATCTCACAGACCAATGATACAACAGAAAAACATGGCCACTGCCCATAAACGTGTGTCTACAAGATTTGATGGAACGAGATTAGAGAAAACGTAGAGTAATGGAAAGGGGAAGCTTTAAAAACCAGCTCTCCCTGGTTTGAACCCTACCTTTGGTGTGAGAAAGTCGCTCACAGCCTCAGGTGCCTTACCTAATAAAAGAGGAATAAGAACCCCTGGCCTGCAGACGTGTTGGGAAGATTAAACGACAACGTGTTGGGAAGATTAAATGACAACGTTCTCACAAGGCTCAGCATCACACCTGCCCCGTAGTGCGTGGCTTCCTTTTCTCCTTACGTGCCGGACTGTATAAGCCAAGTCATGTGAGAACATGCGAAGGATGCTTGCACTTTGAAAGAATGCTCCAGACAACCATTTAGTTACATGGCAGGTCACCCCCTGGTTTTCTGGTCTGTGCATTTGGGTTTTCAAATACACAGGCCCGGGGTGCCTTCATTTGCACCTGTCTTCTACGTCTTCTGTTTCTGGGAGCATTGTGGCCTGGGGGAGGGGCTGCGTATCTGACTCACAAATGTTGTGTATCTGACTCACAAAAAGCAGGCCCACGTGCCAAAAATGGGTGAGCCTAATTCCACCTGGCGGTCATGACTTGAAATATTTTACCTTGGGAGCAGTGATGATGGTTGTCAGCCTACCTAAATCTGAAGGAATTCTCCATTCGTCTGGCTGCGAGCCAGATGGAACTCTTCGCAGCTCCAACATGCTGACGATGGCTCCTGCCAGAGGAGCAAAGCAACCAGAGTGGAACCAGGTGTTCGGCAGGATGACAGCCACCCTGGACCTCAGCTGGCTCAGCAGCTCTCCGTGCCACACTCGAGTCTCCGTCTGCAGCCCGTGTATGTCCACGGGGAGGGAGAGAAGAAGCTGGCTGGCAGATTTGCACAAACTGCATGGTTTCGAGAACCCCACTTAGCATAACTCCTGATAAACCCAAGTTATCAAAACATTAGAAAAATAGGTAATGTGTGTGTAGCTTATAACACAAATATGATTTTATTTTAAAAATTACAACCACCACCTATTTTGAGCGCCTCTGTGGCACAGGCCAGGCTACGTGGTCTGTAGGCACAGTCTCACCCCCACAACTGGAAGAGCTGCAGACCCCATGGAATCTTCTCAGATGTCAGTCTGGTCCCTCTTCCTAAGTGCCCGTTCTTACTTCACAGAAACCACGTCTGCCTGGATCGTGGTGGAAGTTATCAGAAAGTTTCTAACTTTCTCATAGCAAGACTACCGCATACGAAGATGTTGCTGCGGCTCCTGAGAAGGCTCCTCGGCGGGCCGCGAGGCATCCGCTTGCCCTTGCCGACCAACGTCCAGCGTTAGAATTTGGGAGGTGATTGCGAGGGTGCCTGCCCAGATATTTCAGTCCAGAGGAAGCAAAAGGTTTAGCACTATTTTAAGTAGCTACTAAGAATTATATTAAGAGGGAATAATTAATGTTCCTGGTGAACTTATGAAGTGAAAAAAGCTTGCCATCAAATCTCCATTTTTCACAATATGAAAAAAATGCACAGGCCCGTGACCACATACAGTTTATCTACGTTTGAAAAAGGAATGCCAGTCATTCTGAAAAATGGAAAAATACAGACAAGCATAAAGAAAAAATAAAATCCATCTACAATCTCACCACCCAGCGATAATCATTATGAACATTATGGTAGATTTCCTTCCAGGTTCTTCCTTTCCATATATATTTAAATTTGTTTAGAATAATTATAATTTAACTGTAATCACACTACACGTTGCATTTTGGATCGTGCTTTCGATTCCTTAGCATCTTTCCCTGAGCAAGCTCCCCCGGGCAGAGCACCGTCCACTTCGGAGCTGCCATGAGACCGAATGGGGAGATCATCCGAAAAAGCCCCCAGCACCGGGGAGGTGGCTGGGAAATGGTTAGATGACAAACAGGTGGCACTTGAGCCACTACCCCCACTCCTGAACTCAGCAGACATTACTAACCAATCACGGCTCCCTGTTCTGCCGAATCCCAGGAAGCCTCTGAGCCTTTTTTGGCGCCACAGTCTGGACGGCACGTATGATATTCCTGCGCTGGGCCCTGGTTTTGAAAAGGCAGATCTGAGCAGCTTCATTTCCCAGCGTCCGCCTGGGAGGATTTCTCCACTACCTGAGCGTCGAGCCTCCTGCCTTCGATGAATCTGCGGTTGGACCTTTTACAGTTAGCTTGAACCGTCACTAAATAGCATGTGGAGCTAATGCATGTGGGCTGCCATTCTCAGGGTCTGGCTTCACACCTCTGGCCAGGCGTCCAGCAGATGGGCGGCCTCCCTGATGTGTAACTAGTGACAGGGCAGAATTTAGTTCCAGACCAGGCCATCTTCATTCCCAGGCCGTCAAAAGAGTGTTATGACACAAGCCTCAGAACAGCAACATACTGAAGCCAAAGTGCCCCAGGACAAGTGTCACCCGTGTCTGGAGTTGTCCAGTCTTCTGAGCACTGAACCAGGGTAAAGCCCTCCCAGGATAAGGATAATTAAATTCCAATGTGGGCCTGCCCTGAAGTTATTCAACTAGAAAGTTACAAGCCACAGCAAAGGTGCATTTCCACCGAAATGTGCAAAAGCAAATCCAGCATCAAGCAGCCTGAAACAGAGGGGAACAGACAGTTTGACACATTTTAACACCTAATTTATCACACCGCTAACATCTCTCTTTGGGCACTGATTGTATCCCCCTGGGCCACCAGCATGCCTGCCTTATCTAGCCTGCTAAGCCAAGAGGTTCTGGAAGGCGATGGCTTACCCACTCTGCAGAACCTCGTGGGAGCCTGCGATCGAGCGGTGTGTCTGCAGGCGGGGCTGGCAGAATAGAAGCATGCGATACCACGCTGTCACCAGGCACAGGAGGACATGTTGTACCACCCACATGCCTGTCACTGTGGGCTTCGTGACCATGTCAACATTCGCCCTCCCCCCCCCCACACTGTCCTTGTTTCTCTGCAGAGGACATGTCCAGGACTGCTCTCCACTCAGCGCTGGCATGTTCATTCCTCGGTCTCTGCCAGCCTCTCCTTGGCTGGCTCCTCTCACTCCTCCATTCCATGTGGCTGTCCCCAAGAAGACCTGGGCACAGCAAAGCAAGGCCAAGCCCCTCCTCCACCCACAGCCTTGCTTTCTGCAGGCAAAGAAAAATGTTTCCAAGATGCACAAGACAGCACATCTTCTCAACACTGCTCCCCCCGACCCTCCCAGGCTCACTCTAGGCCTGCTCTGCACATCGCCTCTGTGCTGAGCTACGAGACCTCTGCAAGCAGAAACCCAGGGCCAAAACATGGAGATCTAGCATAATCCTTTCACTACGGTTGCCCATAACTCCTTATTTATATGCCTAAGCTTGTATATAGTCTCAATATCACTAATATCCTAAACTATTCCAGATTAGAAAGACAACATAAAATCAAAAACAACATAAAATCAAAATTCTTGCTATAGCACAGGAGAGCATTCCCAATGGGCTCCTAACCCTCATCTCCAGCCTCATCTCAGCATCAACACCAACTACACAAAGGTCAGTGTTGCCAGGTTGGCAAGGTGTGTGTGTTAGCTCACTGTGAATTTGCGCCAGCTAAATAATCATGATAAAGTGAACACCCACGTCAGCACTGTAGAAGCACGTGTGGATCTCCTTCTCCTCCCGAGAAGTCCTGCCTCCTGTGAAAATCATTTCCTGGCTTCTCTTCATAGTTTAACCACCTGCGTATATAGGTCAACAATGATCTGTCTAGTTTAGCCTGTGTTTGAATGTTTATGTAAATAGACTTATCTTAATGGTGTTTCTGAGTCTTATTTCTTTTGTTCAATATGCTTTGGGGACTCATCCACATGGATACGTGTAGCAGGAGTATATTTTTCACTACTGTATAGTATTCCACCGTGAGAATATTCTATAACGTATTTATCCATTCTCCTACAGATGGACATTTGGATTGTTTCCAGTTTGAGTTTGTTACAAGTCATGCTGCTGTGGACATACTTGGGTATGTCTCCTGGTGCTCCTGGGCAAAAGTGTCTCTATGACGTACATCTGGTAGTAGAGTCACTGGATAGGGCATGAAGACAGGCAGCTCTACCAGGTGATGACAAATTGTCTTCCAAAGAGCTTCGTCCAATTCACACTCCTGCCTGTGGCAGATGGGTACTCCTTTGTCCACATCCTCATCAACACTTGGTGATGTGACACTTTGTATTTGCCAGTCAAATGGGTGTGAAATGGAGTCTCACTGTGGTTTTCATTCCCGTTTCCCAGGTTATCAATGAGGTTGCATGCCTCCTGGTACATGAGGAGCCTTTGGGCTGCACTGTCCCATGCTGCCATGACCATATACCCTCTGGAGTACTCTTTCCTCTTTGCCTGGTGAGCTCCTGCTCATTCTGCAACACCCAGTTCAAATGGAACCTTCTAGGGAACAGTGTCCTTCCAGTTTTCCCAGCTAGAATGAGTCATGCTTCCCTCTGGGTTCTCACGCCCCTAGTTCATGACACAGGACTTGTGTCACACTTCTTGCTGTCCCTAGGCTGGAATAATCTGTTTCCTTGCTGGCTCTGCCAGTAAATGACAGTCTCCCTTATTCTCTCTTATTTCTATAACTCAGAACGACGCCTGGCACAGAGCGGCTGCTCGTTATGTTTGTTGACGGATTTCATCAAGTTTAGAGAAAAACCTTTCTAGCAGAGAGTAGTTTGGGTTTAGGTAGAGAAGAAGTTTGGATTTAGACAGACAGACAGACAGACGTGGACTCTTCACAACCCTCTGTGCGTCAGCCCAGCACCTGGGGCTCTGGGGGCGCCGGCCTCTGCCGTTCCGCCTCCACTTTGCCCTGAGCCCTCAGCCCCGGGTCTCCTCCAGCTCCTACATGCCCGGTTTGGACTCCTGTCTTGTTCTTGGCCCTGTGACCACACCTGGGCTCCTGCAGACGGCCTCTGGACACTGAGCGTGGACTGACCTCTCCCCACAGGCCTTCAATGAGGGCTCACCTCTCTCACATTTGTTCTCTCCATTCTCTCTGCCACCACCCTCGACCCTTACTACCTCAGACCTGATGATTATGACAGCCTCCCAACTCGACACCCTGCGCCAGCCTCTCCCATGCAAATCTGTGCTGACACAAAACCCAGCTTTCTATTGTGTTGACAACTAAAAGTTGTCCACGCTCTCCTCCGACATCAGACTCATTCTCAGCCCCAGACCTTTCCTCTGCCCTCTCCCTGCCTGGGGGCGCTGGCCATCCTATCGCCTCCGTGGAAGTTTCCCATCCTAAGAGGCTCTGCTCCAGGGCCTTCCCAGAGTGCTCTGGCCAGTGGGACCCTGGTGAGACTGTGGATAGTCAGGGATCCACAATGAAGTGAGGCCACAGATGCCATGGCCAAGCCAGGGAGCCCCTGAGAGAAATCACGGGTGGAGCAGGCAGGAGGCGGGAGCGGAAGGAGCCCACCGGGGGGGCACAAATAACGAGGGTCAGGATGAGAGAGCAGCGGAATTTCCACAAGGAAGCGAAGACGTGAAGGGATAGGCAAGGCCATGTCCAACATCATCAAACATGCAGGATAAATTGTCAGGGACCAAGAGCTCCGAAGAAGCTGGAGGGAAGGACACACATACCGAGGGAGCGTCCACTCACCCAAAGCCTAATCCATTCTCCCAGGAGATTCTTCCTAGGAGCCCTTTGATGTAAGTAACCTTAGCACAATCTTACAGATGAGGAAACTGAGGGTGAAAGAGGTGAGGTTGTTCGCTGGTCATCAGAAGAGCTGGAACTAGAATTTGGATCCACCTGACTCTGAATCTATGCTTTGCCCATTCCACTACAACCCCGAGGGATCTCGCTCCTCACCCTGGCTCCATCCCTCACCAGTGGTTTCTGGTGCTTATGTAACTTCTCTGAATCTACCCTGCTTCTCAGGGTGGGCAAGAAGATGAACGAGATTATGTGTGTGAACAGCATTTTGTCAACTGTATATTATTACAATTTCACGACCTCAAGTTCTTTCTTAGAATGAGACGTGTAAATAAATGAGTGAACAAATGAATGAAATCATGAATCGACTCTCTCTACTCTTTCCTGTTTCATGGCCAATGTCTCATCTCCCAGCTATGTCACAGGCAGAGACATGAATAGGGTTTCCTGGGGGCCCCCAAACTGCTCACCACAGAGCTCCCTGACAAAGAAAGCCTGAATATCATTTATTAAATGAGTAAATGACCACATGCCTGCATGATAATAATGAATACGTATAGCACTTTACTCGTGAGAGACCAGCATTAAACATTCATGAAAGAGGAGGTGGTCTTCACAGCAGACTGCCAATTGACTGCCCCAAACTCCATTCTCCCTTCTTCCACAGTAATAGAATTTTACCTAGACATGGCTGCCCAGAGAGAGACCACATTCCCCAGCCTTCCTTGTAGCTAGGTGTAACCACATGACTAATTTATGCCAATGCAACATGAAAAGAAGTGAGTTATGCAATTTCCACAACACCCTCTTGAAAACAATTTGCTTGCTTTGCTCTCTTTCTCCACGGTTTGGAACACAGAAATGGCAATGACCCAGCTTTGCTCACTGGACCAACCCTAGGGGGAGGCAGGGCAGAAAGATGGCAGGAACCTGGGCCCCTGAATGACTGTGTGGAGCTGAGCGGCCATGCCAAGCTTGACTCACTCTGGACTGGTAAGGGAGAGAGAAATAGACTTCTGTCTTATATAAGCAACTAAATTTGGGGGTTTCTTTTTTACAGTGCTCAGCCTGAACCTTAACAAATGTAGATTTGTATTAATAAGATTGCCCACATGTGGAGGGACAAGTTGAGCTGGGTTCAATCCAGGCTCTGTTACTTCCTAACCTGTGACTTTGGGTAAGTTGCTCAACTTCTGTTTCCTCATCTGTGAAATGGGGATGACAATAGGACCTGGAGTGAGGATTAAATGACACAGAATACACACAGCAAAGCTGGCTATTGTTATTATCATCCTATCAAATGTTTTCCTGCTCGGAGAGCCCCAGCCAGGCCACCCTGTGTCAGTCATCCTGTGCCAGAGGAAGTAGCTTTTATGTTGGTCCCCTGTGTGGTTAGCTGTTGTCTTCGTGCTACAAATGATTTTGCTGTCCTCATACCCATTTTAATGCAAGATCCCTAACAAGCATGGTACTAAGAAGGGCAGAGTAAAGTTCAGATGCATTCAAGGTTTGGGAATATTTTCCAAAGCATCTATTGCCTTTAAATATATACACATATATTTTCATATTTATAGTTATATACATATAAATAAATAATAAACTTTTTATGTTTCAAGAAAAGATGAAGCCCCATGAGAGAGGCCAGAAGGCTGCTATGATGACACCCATAACATGACACCAAGGAGGAGCACAACTGCCTGTCACCAGCCGGATGCCCATGCTGCTCTCAGACCTTCATTTCTTCATCGACAGTCATTGAGTGCTTTGTCTGTGCCAGGCACTGGTTTAGGCTCTGGGGACACATCTGAATTAGATAAAGTGCCCACCCTTACAACGCTTCCGGTGTAGTGCCGGAGGCAGAACGATTAGCAATACACGTATGCCAGGTCGTGTTAAGCACTATGGAGAAAACAGTCAGGGTCAGGGGACAGAAGGATATTCTGCTTGGTCCTTTACAACACAGAACGACTTCCCACAGTCTAGACATACTAGAGCTACAAGGTGCAAGACTTTGGCCAGACAATCTCCAAAGAAGATACATGAATCGCCAACGGGAACGTGAAAAAGTGCTCAACATCACAATCATCAGGGAAACGCAAATCAAACCCACAGTGAGCTAACGCCT